GGTTTCCAATAATTACACATTCCTGTGTTTAATGACTAAATCCACCACCTAGATATCCTCCTCCACCTAGATATCCCTTGTGGGCAGCTATGAAGTTATAACACACAGCTTCCTGAATCTCTCTTTTTTTCTGGAAAACAAGCACATGTACTTGCACATGCTGTACAATAAATTTGTGCAAATAATGCCAAAGTACTACAGCATATAATAAATGGACAAAGCAATAACAGCACACAGACATGAGGTATTTGAACTGCTACTGTAGAATAGTGCAATATTTCTGAAACAAAGCATTAAAAGAATACATAGTGAGTGCACCATAGAGAGATTTGCTTTTAACCTAAGTTTTTGCTAAGTCCAGTGTATGGTTTTATAAATTTATCCCCTAAGGAAATGGCTTCCAGACAAAAACAAAGAAACAAACAGATGAGAAAGAACAAAAAACCATGGAAATTCGAACAGAAGCTCTGCTCTATTTTGCCTGCAATAGATATCCCATTGTGCTGCAATGTGATGTCTTTTATAAAATACATCTGGAATATAGAAGCACAGTATGAAAGCTCACGGAAAAAAACTTTTTTCAAAAAAAATTTTAAAATACATTTCAAAGAAAAAATCTTAGACAAGTGTGCAGCTGCTGACAGTATATTAACATTTCTCAGAAACCTGGCAACTTTTTCTGATATCTATAAAATACCAGAATAAGCATTTTAAAAATAATTTATACTTACACAAACTAAAGCATCTCTTTCAGAGCCAGAGGTCATTATTCTTTGTGAGGATAAAACCCCCACCATTAGTCTCTTTTTAATAAACAAATACCTTGTAAATACTCTTCCCATGTATAGGAAGAATTAATGACCAAATCTTATACATTCTACATTCTCAAACCTGAAATACTGCTACATCAATTCTAAAAGCTTCTTAATGGAAATCAAATTGTCTCTAATGCTGCAAAAACATATTACAGTTACGCAGCTTAAAAAACTGTATCTTATTTTAAATATTTTTTCTTTCATCATGAGGGCTTATTTCTTTAACCATAGTTTGTATGATCTTCATTAGTATAACTACGCTTTTTGAGTAATGGGCAGTTCCTGTAAATTTATTTTTAAAAATGGATGAAGACTAGGGGACCCTCTAAACACAATGTCCTCTCAGATAATATGGACACAAAAATCTGCAGGGCTACCACAGCCTTTAGACTTGTCTGATGCTCCACAGTGCAAACTGGAAATTAATTTTCTTTAGAAAACAACAATATATCAAAATCAAAGAGAATTTTTTCCTTAAAATATTTTTTTTGTCACCAGGATAGAGGTAAAAGTAGAAGAAAAGCCAAAGAGATTTTATAAAGCTCAATATTTGTAGGGTAGACTTGGAATCAAGGGGGCCCAGCTGTGACCTGGGCTCACACCTGGGATTTGAATCTGTCTCTCCCAAGTCAGGCTCATGTTCAGGTCAGCAGGCTGTGCTAGTATGAGTGTGTATCCTGTGAGAGCTGTTTCACTTTGTATTAATAATTCAGTATTTGCAGGGAAGTGGAGGAGAGAGAAGCTAGTCCTACAGTCTGGTAGTCAAACCTGGGAACTGGGATCTCTCCCTGTCAAATCCACCAAAGAAACAGGAGGGTAGAAATGAGGAAATAGGGATGCCTCTTGCAGCTTAGCAATTTTCAGCTGACCAAATTAGATCAGAACAGGAAGGTCACTGCCCAAACACTGGCTGGCAAGAAAATACTGACTGTGACAACTCAAAACTAAATGGGGCTTTCAAAGTAATCCTATTAAGTCTCTCCTTCTTTGAACAATTAAAAAAAAAAAAAAAAAATTTAAAAAAATCAGAGACAAAAATCTGTTCTCAAAACATCTTAGGATTTGTCAGTGATGTTAATAAACCTTTTTCTTATGATTTTTTTCTATGTTATATAAATCACAGGAAACTACCTGTGATTTAGTAATTTAAGAGAATTTATATTAAAAAAAAAATCCTGCTCCAAAAATGAAAAATGAACATCCTGTATACTTAGAAAAATGAAGAATGAGCCTCCTGCATACAGCTGCTTCTGCATGAGGCAGACAAGAAGAGAAGGGATGAAGAGGCCAAGGGGAAATTTTAGGTGGAAAACATTTTGCCACATAGGAGGACATTTTTGAACAGTGGAGGACAGGGAGGTCTGTCAGTCAAAATGTTGGGCAGCTGCTAGGCTAGGGCACTAACCCATCTTTGTTATTTGCTCTTTGTTGGAAACTCCGAGGAGGGAGCGTGCACTCACCTGGAGAAGAAAATCTGCAGTGCCCTAACACAGTGAATTTATAAATCCCTGGAGAACATTGGTCCTTTAAGAGATTGACTTCTTGTCCCGTGAGCTGGTCACTGCCCGGGCCAGCAGGCAGACACAGGGGCTGGGCAATGCTGAGGGTCACCACTGCTGAGTCAAGGTGCATTTCAGACCTCACAGGACACCCACGGGGACCCTGTGCTGAGACCAGCTCCCACCTCGCCCACGCGCACACAGCACCGTGAGTGTGGCACCCGGAGGGACAGAACTCCTGCCTCGCTCACTGCACCTCTGGGTACATCACTGCCAGTCCAGAATCTATGCACTTGGAAAAGTCCAGAAAGCCTGATCCAGCTTGGCTGTGTGCTGTATCTGCCCTAGGTTTGTGCACAACAGAACAACAATGAACCAGCTGTGCTTTGGGAAAACACGCTGAAAATGAACCAGACTTATTGCTTCTATAATAGTGCTGTCTTTCATTTCAAAAATTAATTCTCTCTTGAGAGGAATTATTTGGAAAAAACAATAAAAACTTACTGACTCTATCAGATAATAAAATAAAACAAATTTACGCACATGAAAATAGAAACCCAATATGTTACTCTGTGATGCAACTTTGATGCCAAGACCACAGAGCACTTCCCACCAGGCCTGCAGGCATGTAAGTGTTGCTCCTGCCATTCCACAGACAGGAGAAATAGAGCACGGAAAGGTCAAGTGGCTGGCTGCAGGCCATACGTCTCCGCCGTGGCACAGCTGGAACAGAAGCATGGCCACCCTGCCCCTTGCTCTGACAAGATGACACGCTCTCCCACTTTTTGTCTTCTTGTAAGCATGCTAGCTCTCCTGATTTAAAATTGCTTTCCTGCTTTTGGAAATTTGTATATTGCTACACCTGACTGCTGAGCAGAAAGTATTGCAACATGCTGCCGAGCTATTGACTTTATTGACTTCTTTCGTGCAAGGAGTTGTGGCACTGGGATCCAGTGATGACACTTTCAAAACACAGTAAATTGACAACATTTCCAGTATTTTAAATATTTTTTAAATAAGCAGATTTGCATCATAGGTAATGGTGCACCCTAAAATGCCATTTTCTCTCCACCCTGATATACATGAAACTTCAGGAAAAAAATTTTATACTTACACAGATACACACACACACACACACACACATATATAAATAAAATAAAGAAACAACTTTTCTTCAGGTCCATTTAGTATTATAAACGAAGTGCTGGTACATTCTCACTTACAGTTGGACATGCAGGTGCCACTGTAATTTACATTGCATTCATGCTTCAAATTTGTGACATAGACACACTTCTCTAAAATGCAGCCATTTTATAGATTTTATTAGACAGAATTATGGTAGGAAGGAATATGCACAAATTGCAACTTAAATGAGAAAATGTGAATGGTGTTACTTATATAAAATACTACTGCAATAGTTCTTTTATTAATTTTTAATGCACAGCACCCACTGTGACCTCCTTTATTCTTTTCCTGTCAACCTGGCAGGCTAGAGAAATTGAAATGGGCTGTAGCTGTTCTCTTCTTGTTCCCCTCTTCTTCCCATTTTGCATAATATTAAAATATAACATCTTATTGGACTGTCACTGTGAAACCATTATGCGATAGGCATAATGATTTTTTCTGATTGTTATCACCTTCTTACTTTTCAGCATCTTTAAAAAATTCCAAATTCTATGTAGTTATCTAAGGCAATAACGCAGTTTGCCACTGAATACACTCCTCTGAATTAAAGTTTGTTTAAAAGTCATCTTTTGCTACATTTCCTATGGTTCTCTAAGGATAACACCAGTCACATAAAATAAAGCATATTTTTACCTGTCTGGTCTCCTCTGATTGCTTTTTTGGGGTGACGTAGGAGGCAGGTCCTATAGAATAACATTTGACTCAATTGGGAGGATGCTATTACTCTTTTATGTATATTTACTGCTATCTTTATCACCAAGGAGACTAATCTCCATACCAGTAAAGCCAAGAAACTCACAGTATTGTCTTTGCATGGCTAAGTTTGTGTTGTCACAGCAACAGAGTTCACAGGGTCAATAGATTAATACATTAGTGTGCACCGGCACTGAACTGGAGTGTAAAAGTTTTGCAGCTGGTTTGAAAATTAAACTGTGAAGAAGGAGTTGAAAATATGGGCTACACAAGATATTGTATATCCTGAGAAATAGGCTACAAAAATATGCATACATTTGCCTAATACTGTCTATCATTTTTATCCACAGTGGGAAGAAGAGGAAATAACCTCTCTGGAAAAGGTGCACTTGGTGGGAAGGAGCAAGGAAGGCTGGATATTGGGCTATGAAACATACACTGCATTTGGATTGTTGATATTTCCCCCTGCGATGCCCTTTCATTAGCCTCTGTCTAACGTGGGGCCTGACAATTGTGACAGGATGAAAAATTTGAGGAAAAGCGAGGGTCACGAGGGAAGAGATTTCCTTCCCTCTCCAGTGACCCTATCACAGTATTCTGATGCAGTGCTTTACCATTAAGGAAAGGGCAACCCAAGAGCCTTCACACTTAATCTGTTCCATCTGTCATGACTTAGAAACATTGACCAGCAGTGAGCTTTAAGGACTCGGTGCGACTGCAGACATGATATTCTAGCCCACTACAAGGACCTCCTGATGTTTTGAAAGCCTCCAAGGAAGTACCACGCATCAAAAAGGGCAACACCTACCTGACATGCCACCATATGTGGTCCTCAGTCCTCGACCAACTGCTGGCCAAGGTGTGCTGTCTGCTTTCAGTCCCATCAGTCCTGACACTGTGTTGGTGGCTGTAACACCATCTGCACCACCTGTGAAAGAAAAGGTCAGTCACTTTGTTAAATCATGTGTAAAAGAACAAGAGGGGATAAAGTACTAAAGAAAACCTGTGAAACTCTAAATAACTAGAAATTCAAATAAACAACTGGAGAGCAAAAGCAACAAACTGCAAGGGGATGCACAGAAAGGTCTTTATGACTGATCCTGGGCTAACAAATTTAGCACTATCTTCAAGGCAGGCTGCATCAGCTGAAAGAGCTGTAAGAGCTATGAGACAGCATGTGGAAATGCTGGGGCTGACAGGCAGATCTTTGCCCTTCAGCTGTGTGGGACAGAATCTGCTACAGCAGTTGCTCAACACCTGAAGGTACCCCAAAACAGTGGCTGCCTCCTCCAAGCTTCTGTGCAGCAAGACAAAAGAAGCAACGTGACAAATAAACAATTACCATGGTTCTTAATGATGGATTAATACACCTACTTGCAAACTTACTTGCTGCCACATTGTACAATAAGCTCTAAGGAAAAGACATATATACCTTCAAGTAGTGTATTTTTGTTTTCTCAGAACATGCATAACATTTTCACTACTAACTATAGGAACAGAGACATTTACAGTGGTATGGTAAACATATAAATATGACAGAAGAGCTTGCAGGGAAACGCTATAGAATTTATTGTTAACAGTCTAATGGGATTTTGCTTCATATATTGCTCTGTTCCAGACATATGAACAAAATTAGGAAACCTTTGATCACTGTGCTTATTCTAAATATATCAAACAAAATATTTTCATATTAGTTTCTGCTGTTTTCTGTTATTCCAGCAATGTTCCAATCTTACCCCATGCAGCAAATTAGTAAATCTGCACAATTTGTGCATTGGAGTCACTCACCTTCCTGCGCAGCCATTGCAATTTTCACAATATCAGTAACATTTGGGGTCAGTTTGGCAAAGAAAGGAATGTGAACAGCTTGTCTAACCCAGCGACAGATGTTCCGTACCAGCTCTGGATCCTGTTCAAATAGGCCAGATAAATATAGAACATAATTAAAAGTAATATGAAAAAAATTTATATTAAGGAAATAGAAAACTTTGCTCTAAGTGTCTATGCTGCAATATTGTAAAATTGAGCACCAGAACTGAACTTCATCTCATTAGTTAACTTATTTCAGACACACCAAGTAATTGGAAACCCACTACAGAAAGGTTAATTTGTGAAAAAAAGGAAATTTTTTTTTCATAAGACAAAGATATCACAAAATATTCCTTTTCCCGAGAGAGGAAAATACCATTTTGGATGACAGAGACCATTTTACCCATTTTTTTTAAAATTAATTTTCAGTTTTAATGACTCACTCTATGCAAGCTACATTAAAAACAAGCAGTATCCTATGAAATCATGTGAATCTGAAGCATTGTCTGATCATGCCTTGATCAGAACACAGATGAATCAAGGTTGCAGAGCTATCAGAATGCAATTCAGCATTTCTGAACTCTGAGAATAACTTGGGATAGCCATAGTGTAAATGAAAGATCAAAATCTTCTCTGTTAAAGCCAGAAATAGAAGTCTTCAAGTGTTGGCTTTTCCTGATTTCCAGTCATTTACTTCCCTTATGGAATACATCTCATGTAGACAGTAATCAACTACCCTTTCCACTGAGGACAGCTCAGTGGAACTAACACCTGCATCTGGCACGTACAAGGGTTCTTGCTCAATGTAACTCTTGTTTTATTTTTCTGTGGGCAATTCATAATACTCTTCAACAAGTACCTTAAAATTTACAATACTGATGCATGTAAAGCTGGTGCATGTTCTGGCTAAAAATTGAATGGTGCCATTACATAATTTAGCACAAGAATTACCTGTGGCTAGGCTAATCAGTACTGCAGCAATTATTTACATTTACTAACTCTCTCAGATAATTAAATCTGTCATATATGAATAATCTTCCCCCATTTGGATATTGTAAAAACTCGGAAAGCTGCATTGCTATGTAGTAACTGAGAATGGGATGAGACTAAATGAAATTAATTTAAAACAATCCAGTGGACGCCAAAGTTGACAGTCTAGTGAACACACAGGAAATATCCCCTTGTTTTTTCTTTTTACACCAGTGGTTAAATACAAACAAAGCCCCCACAGGCTGTGTTCCTAGAAAGTACATAGTGCTTGATATGAATAGTAAAATCCTAAGACTTAGCTCTGGCATCCCAATAAAAGCGGTGATCTCCCGCCCATGCAGCTGCCATGAAATATGTATGAAATGCTGCACCGGCAGTATGAAAGTAGTTACAGCTTTGACTTTCATTTCTGTTTTGAATTTCCTTGAGGCCCAGCGCAGAAATGAGAGACCCTCTAGAAGACATGAATTGTATATCCTTTATGTTAATTCTTCTCCTTAGAAATCCTTGTGATAATGTTCAGGATGTTGGCACCACATAACTCATTATGCTGACTTCGTTGTGCTTATAGTGCTGCCATAAAAATTCTTATTCTAACACACACTAATGACTTAAAAAATACAATTATTTTAAACCACACTGAATAAAATTTTGGAAGATGTCTTTCATAACCCAGTTTTCATCCTACCTAAGACAATTTAACTTGTCTTTTGTAATAAACAATAATTGTTTGGGTTTTTTCCCCCTGAAAGTAAGTAAAGATCTTTATTTTCAATCAGTTCTACTTCTCACACACCAAGATTAATGCAATTAATGTAATGGAATGGTCTTCTATTCCTCATGCTAGTAAACAGTTTAAATATCTGATTGCACAGCACATGACTAGAAAAAGCCCTTTCAAAAGGCTCACTTGTATCAGCCTTGGAAAACTGCCCATTTTTGGTCCCCATAAAATCACGGGTAAATTAATAGGAAAATAATTCAAAAATTCAAGTGAAGGAGGTAATATCTTTCATCCTATTTCACTTAATATTCTAGGGGAAAAAAGAGACTGTTTAGTGAGTAAACATTGAAAAAAAAAAACAGAAGTTAAAACAGTGCTTTGTTGCATAGTGCGACAGTTAATGATAGAAATTAGAAAGATAATAAATTTTATAGAAAACAACTTAGAATTCCCATTAAACTTGACAATTCTGAACGGAAACAGGTATTTCTGAAGGTTATTTTTCTGAAGGTTTAGTATGGAGATACTGTTTTATACAATTAATTTGCACATTAAATAAATCTCGTACAAAGACAATGCTGGTTAACTTTAAAAATGTCAGTTTACCCTTGGGCCACACCCAAAAACCATACAGTGATGTATCTTGCTGCTTCCCTTTACAATGCAAATCCTACAACGGAGTTGTGCTGGAACATCCAGATGATGCATTTTTTCACCATCCTCCTCCTCCTCCTCTCCTTGCTCTGCCTCCAGACCCTCCTGCTCAGGTTCCTCCTGGTGCAGCAGTGAACACCAGAGTGCCACCTCAGCCCACCCTCTCTCCCCTCCCAGCAGTGACACCAAACACATTTTTGAGAAACGCTAAAGTGATTAGAAATAGAGAATTCACTTTTAAATGCAATCATTGACTAAAGAAATGCAGCTTAAAACTTTATATTTCTGAGAATATTAAGTTGACCCATTCAGCAAACTTTTAAAGTCAAGCACAAATTTAGCAAAGTGAGTAGCATGATACCAAGAACTAGTTTTGAAGAGGTTATGTACAAGCTTCATTTTGCCTAATTCATTTGACTGATTGAGGACCTCCCTCCTACTTGGATTTCTAAAAGACTGACCCCAATTCACAAATCGCTTTTTCCGATTCGCTTTCGTGGATTTATAAAACATTCAAGGATAAGCATGTAACTTGTGAAATAATGAATCTTGAGGCCCGTAAATCACATTATAAAACAAACTGTCAGTGCTAATACAACACAAATACCATTTTTTACCCCAATCTAAGTTCATGAAAGTGCCTGCAGCTTTTTTCATTGATAAAGTGGTTGACTAAGCCTGCATAGTCAAGAAATACTTTCTAAAAGGCTTGATATGTAAGATGTTACGAGCTGTAAAAACAGCTGGGCATTTGTATTCACAAAACCAACAATATGAACTAAATAAAATTTTAATTTATTAGACGATTTCACTGCTTTTGGTTCAGAGTCTACCATGTTGCTAAAAATTATCTTCTTTCATTACACATAACTGGGTTTGTTGGTTCTCTCATTAATAATGATACAATGTGATTGTAACAGAAAGTGTAGCATAATTTTGCACTGTGTGTCTATCCAGAAGAATGAACAAATGCTCCAATGGACTGTAACATCCATTCCCAGTGCACTCTGTTTATCTGCTGTATTTTAATTTTTTTTTAACAAATGCCATCTAAATAAAAGCTGGTAAAATTATCATTGGCTAAGACATAATATTGATTCATGCACTGTACCTACAAGAATCTGTTGGTAATTTAATACCATATAAACTCTCTTTTGGTGTAAGCTGTACATCAGCATGTCTTCTGTCTTCCTGTTAATCAAATAATGCTTGTTTATTCCAAAGGCACAGGAGATTTGAATGTTACAGGGGTTGTCTTTTTACTTCCCTAAGCAACAGTACAGAATCATTTTTCCTGAATATTCATTATAGCCTTGGGCTAGATGAAGCTTTTAATCCTAACTACTCATTGCCAATGGGTAGATATACTAGAGGAAAAACAGCTATTCACCTTTTTTTTTCTAAATGATCACATGATAAGCTTAACTACAACCATAACTATGAGTATAAGTCCTCAGAAATTAAAGCAGCAAGTTGTCTACTGATTGCATTTGGCATCTGTAATGAGATGAATCCCCTGTCCTATCAGCCCCAAGGCAGATACATCCTGCATGTTTAAAAAGCAGCGTGAAAATGCTGTGCACAGAGTAGGTCACCTCTCCTTGTGTTTCATGGAAAGAAACAAAACCATGATGAGATTACCACAGAAATGTCTGGCTGCAGATTTTGGAAATTTTTATTGTGACCTATTTTCAGTGTTCTTTCAGGGCTCTCATTTTTGCACTACCCTCTTACTGCAGAATCTTTACACTGTATCCAGAACACCTCTCTGAGGTATTTATTACAATTATACCTGTTCAATAAATGGAGAGATGAGAGTCAGCCTGAGGTGCACCTCCACAATTCACCTTGCTTTGGTGCCCAGTTTTGCAAAAGTCATTCACGTAAGGACTTGAAAAGGTTTGTCTGGCAGAAAACTGCACTTAATTCTCTGGACTACCTTAAACCATGGCATACTTTACACATTAACAACAGAAATATTTTTAATACTTGGATTGAAATAGATTTTCAGAGCATTTGAATTATGTAAAAGGTTACAACTACTTTAGGGTAAAAAATATGTTTTTTAACTGTGCAAACACTCCTTGGGAAGCACACGTGTGTGAGTGCATGTACATCTACATGTGTGCATACATATAGAGAGAATACAAATAGCAGTCTGAAAGATGCCATAAAATAAACCCAAACCTGTTAGGAATTTTCCCTAAGAACTTCTTAAGAAAGGTCAACACTCAGTAGAGCACATCAGTTGATCTTGTCTAATTAGTATTACAGAACATGGACCATATCTTGCAATCTTCAGGCTGTCCCTAAATAATGGTGGCAGTTCTGTCTCACTAAGAGCAGGACAAGGACTCATACAGTTGTGGATAGAATGAACACAACTTTTCTCAGACAAAATCCTGATTTTATATGTGTATGAAGGCTTCTTTACATAGACCTATTGGATTTATCAGCACACGTCATGCTGATGATTTGTACTGGCCCGTTATCCTGACGGTGATGATGGGAAGTCCTAGATGGTACAAAGATTGTTGCAAGGTGCAGTAAGACCTTGCATGTAAAGTCCTTAAATCTCATATATCATTGACTACAATGACCTAAACAACAAAGTTTCAGAAATTAAAATACTTTATTGCGTTTAATGCAAAAAGTGAGTCTAATCTTCCTCATACATGTCAAAACTTTGGTGGCCACAAGACTACTCTGACGTATATTTGTTGCCTATGAGT